TTTTTTTTTTTTTTTTTTTTTTTTTTGTTTTGAGTAGAAATGAAACGAGTTAAGCGCAGTTTTGTATTTTAGGGAAATTAATGCTTCAAGACTACATTTCACCTGTATGTGATAACAGAAATAAAAATTAGACAAATTCGAAATTTCAAGATCAAGTTCAATAAATAGATCAGGTATTTTCTCTTTCATCTTGCATTGTCTCTGTGAATATTTCATCAGTGATAAAGACTAAATCTTTCCGCTCCAAAGCAGCGACACGATACTACTCTTTTGCGAAGAGATCTTCATACGATCGAGAATAACGTATCACACGAAGCTACTACGGGAGATACTTCATTTTCAAGAGTGCAAATATCATTTACTGATAGAAGCAGTTTGACTGGCATTTCCTTGTCAATAACAGGAATGCATATCTGTTATACATATGTATATCTATTTGTGCATATAATTTCTATCAATTACAACGCACAGATACACAGATACTGTCAGAAGATTAACATTAAAGGATTACTGCTTTGTGCACTAATGATGATGATTGTTTTGTTAACGTAAAGTTCAATTATGTAAATAGTTAGATGTCACGTTTAATTTATTACAATTTCAGATGACTATTGTTCATACCATTAGACTCTTTAAAAATATTTCTTTGAATTTTCTTAAACGTTTAAAAGACGTAGAGAAAGAACATAGTTGGTCAGCTTTCGCTACCTTCTTCAAGCTCGATGCATTTGACAAGTAAAAGCATTGTCAAAAGTTTGGCAATCGATACTAACTCCACAACTGTATATACGCTTTGTGTCTTTTACGCGTCACGTGACTCGTCGATCGGGTGGATTTATTTTGTTCAGAACACACGATGCCAGAACGTGACAGACACACCACGATTTCAACCGGGAACAAATCAACTCGCATTAAACACAATTACCCAGCGACAGATGACGTAGGGTATATATTGAGTTAGTCGTCACTCGTTATCCGGCAAATTGATCAAACTGCCTTTACTTAAGAGTATCTATCCATCACCAGCCCTACGAGGTCGAACGTATCAATTCTGATAAGTAGCACCTGTTATTATTATAATAATGAAATAAAAAGCCGACTCACGTTATGACTCGAAAACCGTATTACAATTTTTTTTTTTTTTTTTTTTTTTTTTGACTTTTCGAGGCTAACTCTATTCATCTGTTATTTATAAAATTATGTATGTTACTAAAATATTACAATTCTTAATTTGACTTGGAAATTGATATGACAATGGCGCGGAGACACGCGTGGCGAACGTGTAGCAAGTAACTCTTTGTTTCAAGGGTGTGAGTGCGGACTAAAAAGCTTGTGTGACACGGGCAGCTGTTCGAATTACATTGGGCTTTGCTCCTGGCGCGTGCACGGTCTATTGATACACGCACACGCACAGGGTAACCGCGTATTATTACACCAATGTCGTGCATTCACCACGAAACGTACGAAACGTGCGGCTTTTGAGAGAAAGAAAAACAATTGCCAAAGTGATCGCAGCATCAGGGCGAATCTCAGCTCTATTGGGCCAGGGGTGGGAGAAACTCAACACAATGCTTCCACCTCTCGTGCCATTCTCTCCATTCTTCACGCGGTTCTTCTCTCAGTTCAACGATTCCTCGACGCGATGCTCGATTTTAAGCCACAGATTCATTCGATTCAACGTTGAACACAGATTTGCCAACAGTTCGTACGAGAATCTGGGTTCTCTATAATCGGAGCAATGCGAAACAATCGATATGATCTTTACGAATCGAACGAAAGATGAAATGACGAACGATCGATTATCGTTGTACTTGTAATTGGTATTAGCTTCAGCGTGATGTTTATCGCGAGAGATACACGCTCCTTGCAATTGTCAAGTATGAAGCGAACGTAGCAATGACAGGATGCAAAAAGAAGGAAAAGGAGAGAAAGAAATAGGGTAGAGGATGCAGCAAGCTTACAGGGCACACGCATATGCTTTTGACGTTTCGCGTCCGGTAGCGTCAGTGCGAAGGATCACTTCGCTAATATTTAGATTAACGCGGCAGTTGTTCTAGCGGCGTTCGATGACGTTAAGTTGTGAGAGATTCTCGCGACACGTTACGTTCTTGGTGAACGAATCAAAATTTGAGTAACAAGAGAGGGAAAGAACGACGGCGACGGCGGCCGGGTTCCGTGGTTGTCGCAGAACACGTCGTATAACGTTCTCTTTCGTCGTAGGTCATAGTACGTAGTATCGTCACTCACCTGCGTGCTTCTCCGACTTCGGCGTGGAGGCCATCGCTAGCCGGTAGTATGTCCTCTCGAGCCACGACACTATCTCACCATTTCTACGAATGACTGCATCGTAAACTATACACCAGTAGCGGCGTTTTCAGTCTAATGTAAACCCGACGTGCACCGCTACATCTTCGTTTGTCAGCCATGTTTCGGGGCGCGAGCGCGCGAACCGCCATCGCACGGTCGAAATTTGAAACACAACACCACCATCCAGGCCAATATGGCCGATGGCCTGTCATTCGAGTGACATTTCTGACTTAATTCTCGATCTTGAAAACATGTTTTCGAACGGTTGATCTTCACGGGCGCAACATGTTTCGCACTCACACCTGTCGAAGAATATAAATTACGACGCCGGGTTAACCCGCTGCAACGATTCGCCTCGCAAGTATTGTCGTGTGAAAATTAGTTGGAGGAATAGCGGCGCGACAGCGACTGGTTTTCCTACATGTGTGTTGATACAGTGCCATGCAAAAGTCGTCGACCACCGATCAAATACAGTCTCCAACAAAAAGTTGGATGGTTTCACGTTAATCGTGACGAGGAGTAAGTACCATACTGTCGACGAAAAATGTATAGGGAAATATTGTGTCAATTTCTGGTAAATTGGATAATCATCTGTTGAAAAATAAAGTGCATTCGACGAAAAACTATATTTTTCCGTCTCTCTGTTTATGCCTCTCGAAGATTGATTGAGAAAGTATCGTTATATTGTTTATGACATAGAAACATTGAGAATAATTTATAACGGTTTATTTTATTTGATGTCCACATAAAATGGGGAACTCTGGCTTGAAACAGCATTACGAGACTGCAAAGAAAACTGGAACATTAAAACTGTCAGAGAGGAAACTCGACGAATTTCCACAAAATCTACTAGCTTTGTCGCCATTGTTACGCACATTGGATCTATCGGAAAACAAATTTGTTCACATTCCCAATGAAATTGGGAGTTTTACATTGTTAAAGCAACTGAATCTTAATCATAACAGATTGACCACTTTGCCCGAAGCGCTTGGAGCATTGACCAAGTTAGAAGGTTTAAACGCAAGTTCAAATCAAATAAAGAATATCCCATGGTCTTTGTCTAAATTGACGCGTTTGAAACAGGTCAATCTGTCTGACAATCGTATAACCGAATTCCCACCCATGTTTTGCGATTTAAAATCTCTGGATGTACTAGACTTGTCAAAAAACCGAATTACGACAATTCCCGACGCGGCTGCTGCGTTACATGTGGTTGAACTTAACCTCAATCAAAATCAGATATCGACTATATCTGACAAACTGGCGGAATGTTCGCGCTTAAAAACATTAAGGCTCGAAGAAAATTGTCTGCAATTGAGTGCGATACCCACAAAGATTTTGAAAAATTCCAAGATCTCCGTTTTATCGGTTGAAGGAAATTTATTCGAAATGAAACAATTTGCTAATCTCGATGGTTATGATAACTATATGGAAAGATATACTGCAGTAAAAAAGAAGCTGTTTTAAAGGATGTTCTATGGGATATTATGAAATTTGTTATAAATAATAATAACTATACAATTGTTTGATAACGTTGAAAAGAAGCCGCATCGTGTTCGCGCAATTGTATTATATTCGACACTTGCGATAATGTAATCTAAAAAATAAAACCCTGCAATTAATCGCGAGATAATAATGTTTTTAATAAATCGATAAATACTCACGCAGGAAAGCATTTTTGTACAAAATCATGTTTGTTAGATGACAAATTTGATCTTGATATATCGGATTATATTTAGTATACCATTCATACTAATATATTACAATTTTTTATTACACTGATTGCAAAATAATGTCTTCATATTTCATATTGCAATATAGTTCTTATAAAAATGTTCTTATACATGCAATTTATGCATCATTGTTAGAGCATACACATAAGATGTATTAAATAATAAAATATGTTTTGCGAAAAATTTCTGCATTTTTTTTGTAAAATGTTCAATTATATGTTTTATGTAAGTAAAGAACACTTCTAAATGTTTCACATATACTTCTAAATGAATTTTGCAAAATGAATGTATATTAGACATTTAACAAGATTACTATAGTTATTTATTACAATTACACAAAACTTACTTCATTGCATGCAATGTATGTGATTACCGTTTCATTAATTTATTTTTGAAAACATAAATTACGTTTATTTTCAACTCTTCTTTTTTATTCATTTTCTAACAAAGCATTTGTTGCATTTATAATATTTATAAGTGTAAACATGCAAACAAAATTCTTACTATTGTGAACAAAAAACAAATGATCTTTTCCATCCCAAAATGGCGTGTCTGGCCTTTGCTTTCTGAACACAGGAAGAGCTGCTGAAATTAAATTAAAAAAAAAAATCGACAGGTGAGTTACGAGCAGAAAAAAAAAGTTACATGCTTCAACTTTCAAGTTAGCAACCCTTCACTTGCGAATACGTGAATAGCTTAAGTATTACTTCGTTAAGCATGAGAGATTTGTATTCCACTCTTTTGCCGATTGAACAATTACAGCTAATTTTAGAGCGCATTCAATATCCAATGATCAGTTAAAGTGTGAATAACCAATGACCAAAATGTTGTGCAGCTTTTACAAATTATATTTTATACAACTACTCGAGATTAGAATGGCAGAATCATTATTTGTAAACATTATATGGCATTGTTATATTTTGGTTACATATTAATTACACGAAGCGATTGCAACTGTTGTCTTCAAAAATCCAATAAAATTCAATATGATACATGGAAATTTTGTTTTTGAGACAAATCATTGCATTCATCTATTGCAATATTTTTTATAACATACTTTAAAATCTGTTTTAGATTATTTAAAATGTAACAAAACTTGTACAGGTCTAGGGTATAGACGACGAGAATGTTGTGTATGAAAGATGTACTGCTCTAATTGTTGAAAGATTTAAAGATTTTATATAGAGTCTAATCCAAAATTCTTCTATAGTTTAAATTACTGTAGTAATTTCTTATAATTATCACGGTATAACAGAATTTCTAGGTACGTTGTCATCAATTGTTTATATTATACCTGTACCACAATAGAACGTCCAACTAACGACCATGACAGTACACCAAGATTTAAGCACCCTGTACCATATTGTCGATGAATTTTTACATGTACACGAAAACACGATACACGGCATTTAATTTGCATTAGTTTGTTGATAACTTAATCAGCAATTTTTTCATATTGAAAAACGAAATAGAATCGAAGAGATTATTTCATAAAGAAAGTATTTGTATCTATTTGAAATATCTCGAACAAATTATAAAACGTTAATTGTCCTGAATGTAACGGATCATTTCTGATCATTTTCGAGAGCTTCGATAGCAGCGTTGCACTTTCTAAATAGAGATGTAAATTTAATGCGAGAGACAGGCGTTTCTATTTGGTTTGACGTCCCTATGGGGAGCACTGGCACCACAGTAGGTTAGTTGACTAGCGTAGTTTCTAGCAAGTGTTTCCCCGAACATGGCGGACGGTGCTTATTCGAATTTTCAAGGGACACAATGAAAGTGCACCGAGTTCGCGGCTGTGATGTCCTTGACTAAGGGCGTGTGGTGATCTTGAGGGTGGTCGACGTAAACACCCGGGCGCCGCTGTGATCGTATCGGTTGCATGCGTGCCGGCGTGTCGCCATCCTGACTTCACGGAATAGGGTTTTGCCGCGCCGCGATTGTGTGTCTGAGAGCGACCGACCGTGGCGGGGCCCCCATGGTTGTAAATGGCTGACGGGAATCGGAAAATGAGGTCCGAACGTCGCGCGTGATTCGACGGCTAAGACGCTGAGGTACGACATAAAAAAAGGTGTTTGGAGATCGAACGATATTCGCGCGGTCTTCTGTCCTAAAAACACCACCACCGGTCCAAGCACCGCCCGGTGTTAGGAGCTGTCTCGGGGGTTGTTCGTGTCTATCGTATCGCCAGTGTCTTCGTCAGTTAGTTAGGCTTTAATGTCTCCCCTGTTCCTCTAATCAGCAGAAAGCTGAATCTCATTCAATACTTGTCATCCACGACAAAAAATGTTTTCGAAAGTGGAGCCGCTCGTGCGCGACGTCTCGTCTTGTTTAGAACAGCATTTGTAGGTGCTCTCGTTCGTTAACGAGAGCAAGAGCGCGCGGACTGGTTTTTAATGAGATGCCGATCATATGGTCGTTATTTCTTTCGCAGGTACTCGCGATACTTTTTTCATTCTTGTAACGTACTTATCGCCGCTTGTAATGGAAACGTACATAAATGAATGATTTGGCGGACGACCATCTATTTTGCACATTTGCGTGGACCAAGCAATTATGTGTACGTGCATGTAAGATTTGCTTTCCTTTCGGATTTCAACAAACATTTTGCAAGAAGACTTTGTATTAACATGGTTTTCTATTCGAGATATTAATCACTTTCTTAATGTAATTGTTGTAATTACATCTTAAAAACATGTACAATTTTGTTTCCATAGGATGCTATCTATTTCATAAAAAATTGATTTTCGTGTTGCGTACTTTACAAGTATGACATTAAACAATAATTTAACAGAAATACACGTGTGGTAACATTAGTATAACTAATATAGAGAACCTTATCATATTGTTATTATTTGCTGTCAAGACATGACAAATTTTTTCTATGTAATCATTTTTTATAAATTTCTGTATTTATATTGATAAATATTAATATCAGTTAGAAATTAAATAATGTTCAAATGACTTTAAAATATCTTTATTGAAACTACCCTTGTAACATCTGAATCAAGTTAAATAACAATTGTTTAATTATATCATTTAGATCTGATTTGATCATTAGTCTTATATGATTATTATTGTTATGGTTTTTTATGACTATAGACACAGGGTAGAAAATGTCAGAGCCAGAAGAAAGTCTGGCAGCGCCGGATAGCACTACGAGGGAACAGAAATTAGGTTTCTCTCATGGGGATGATGTTCTTCTACAACACAAAGATGGAAAATATTATCTTGGAACAGTTGTTGAGGTACAGTTGTATATTAATTTTCAAATGTTGATTTCTATATTTTCTAATAAAACATAATTAAATTATGTTTCGCTATTAGATTTAACATAGTTAGAAGTTTAACATAGTTAGAAGAGACTATATTTAACATAGCTAGAAGAAACTCTATTAAACACCGTATATACAGGTGGATTTGGCAAGGGAGAAATGCCTTGTCAAATTTATGGACAACACCTCCTCATGGTCCTCTGTTAAGGAGCTGACAAAGCTTTCAATGCCAGATTCTGATGTTATGTGCGTACTTTGTAAAAAATCTCAGCCCAAGACTGATAATGACATTATTGTTTGTGACAAATGTGGTCGTGGTTATCATCAGCTTTGTCACCAGGTAATAAGAAATTAATATTTAAATGAGAGATCAACATTTTATATGTAATCATACATGTATATAATATAATATAATATAATTATTTACAGCCTCAAATTTTAAAAGAAGAAACTTCAGCCGAGGCACATTGGATGTGTAAAAGATGTGTAGATAGTCAACCACGAACACGTGAAGTTGTAGAACCAAAAACTTCTATGGTAAAGGCAAGTATCAGAAAAGTTTGCAGTGGTAGGGACCAACCTCAGCCGCCACCAGATGATATGACAAAGTTGCCGTACGATGTAAGTGTTTGAAATAAATTTTTCTAATCTTAGTTTGAGCAATGAATCAATGATAATAAACAAGTTGTTAGTTTCTTAATGATATTTAAAAAAATATATATTGTTTTCTTGAAAGATATAGTAAAATACTGATAAAATCAATAGTTAATGTTTGTTACAGCCTAATATGTTAAATTGGGATGCACATCATAGAGTAAATGCAGAACAAATTTATTGCTATTGTGGACTAAATGGTGAATGGTATACACAAATGTTACAATGTGCTCGTTGCAAGCAATGGTTTCATGAAAAATGTGTCAGTTGCTTGGCTTATCCTTTATACAGTGGAGATAGGTAAGTAAAAATGATTAAGTTTCAATGCACAAATTTCTTTAGTTTCTCTTTCAAATTTACTTGGTTGAAAAAGATGTTTAATAATTAACATGGTTCATAGGTTTTATGTATTTGTTTGTTCAATGTGCAATTATGGCAAGGAATTCGTACGGCGACTGGAATTGAAATGGGTAGATCTGGTGCACCTGATGTTGTACAATTTAACTGTTTACAATGCTAAAAAGTATTATGATTTGGACACTGTTATTGTACCTTATGCCAATGATAACTGGAATACTTTGCAGCTTCCTCCACGGGTGAGGTTATTTTGTAAAATTTTTTAAATATGAATTTTAGGTTAAATTTCATTAAAATGTGTATTTATTTTGTTATTATTAGATCAGGGATGTCAGTGCTCAAATACGCAGAGAATCTATACTAGCAATATTAACACATAATAGGAACAGATTCAAATGCGGCCGAGAAATAAAGAAACGTACTACGATATGGGGTCTTAGAGTTAGATTACCACCACCATGTCCTATTGTTAATCTTCCAGCAACTGGTGTAATAGATGATTCTGTATTACGTAGATGCTGGGGTGCTAATAAAAGACTGCAATATCTTCCTCCACCTACAGGGTTAGTTACTGCAACATTATTATTTAAAATATGTGTTTTAATTATTTGTTCGTTTAATGATCTTCAAGGAAGTATCGTTTCGTTCCAGACCGATATCTTTACCAGAAAGTACAAAACAATTAACTGCGCTAAAGCAAAGTACAGCAGAAAATTTAGAAATTCCAGTGAATCCATCGGATGTAGTAATGCGTGGAACAATTTATCATCAAAATTCAGAAGCAGAACAAAGTTCATGCCCAAGTCCACTGAATCAATCTACACAATCCCTGAGAGAAAGGTAGAGTCTAATTCATTGTAACATGTTTCATAAAAATCTTCAGATTTTAATTTTTTTATAGATATATCGGAGGTGGCTTTGTAAAAAAATCATTCCCATTTCCCAAACTCAGTTTGCAAAGAAGAAGACGTTTAATGGCATTAGGAAGTTCTCGTGAAAGAATGTTACGTAAACACAAAAAAAGAGAAAAAGGTGATAGCGCTTTAAGCAAGGCTCAGGGTGTTCGAGAAGCTAGATACAGGAAAGCAAGAAAGTTATTGAAGAATGCTATAGCAAAGGTAACAAATAATGATAATAACGAAAATATCATTATAATTCTATTATTATATTTATACAAGTCCAATTATTCGTCCAATTATTATAGAGTAAATCTCGCAATTCGGAAACGTCTGATCTACCACCGACGCCTCCAACTTCAGTATCTGGCCCACCTACACCACCAGCTACAACTTCGGGTATATCTGAATTATCTGTGCCTAGTTCTGTGGAATTGATGCATCCTTTACCACCATCTACGCCTGCGGATACGAGTGGAGATGAAACCAGCTCAAGAGGAACCTTGGACTCCTTTATTCCACCACCAAAAGATTTTGAAGGCAAGAATAATCCTTTCAGAAATCTTAGTGATTTATTGGGTACAACTGGTAATCTCAATCAAACAAACCCAAGTACCCAATCACCGTACAATCAATGTCCAATTACATTACCTCTACCGCTTACTCCTGTTATATCTCAACCGCCGGTAGTACGGCCAGCTAAAAGACAATTATCGGAAAAAGACATTATTATAGACAGAAACGGGCAAGTAAAACGTAGACGTCAACATCGGAGAGGACGTCCATCGCAACAGCAAATACAACAACAATATCAACATACTGCCAGTAAGACGGCAACCATCTTACCGGCACGTAACAACGAAGTTAAAAGTGAGTTTGCAAAGAATTTAAGAAGTTCGTTTAACGGTGCCTCAAGCAGTGCTAGTAGTCAAATTGGAAATTGTGTCGATTATGCCTTAAACGGGAGAAGACTAAGACAACGTCAAAGCAATGACAAATTACCGCCCCCAGATCCGCAACCGCAAAAGAAAGGTAGTGTACCTTCATCTCCAAAGTGTTCACCTGTTAAACAAAGTACTCCCGACATATCTCTGGATGATTTAAAGTCATCGGTGAACATATATTTTGGAGCAGCTAATAGGATCGCTGCTGGTGAAAAGTTTGTCATCAGAGCAAAGAGGATAGGACCAAACGGTCAAACTCAATACCTAATCGAGTGGGAGGGACTTAACACTTAACAATAAATAATTTGTTTATGATTATAAATGCATTGCAGTCGTATAGAATTTTTGTTAACATTGAGCAAGAGCAGTGTTAACCTTTTGCGAACGCGTATCTACGGATAGCAGCACAGGTATTTTTACCGTTTAGGATACGTATCTACGGACAGCAGCACAAGCATCTTTACCGTTCAGGACGCGTGTTTACGGAGAGCAGCCCGATATCATTTTTACCGTTTCTACTACACACTACTATTGACATGACCACGAATTTTGAACTCTCGTTTTATCTTTTGTACTCTTTGTAAATTTTATGAGTTTGATTTCTTCTCATTGCGTGCATTCGTACACGATTTAGGCTGTTCTACATGATATATTTATATATTGTTATTTATGAAAGTTACTCTACTATGGCTCTATAATGTCTAAAAGAAGCATGAAGGATATTACATTATCAGCAGTGATG